CCCGAGAGATTTTTGTAATTGCGGAATTTTTATATCGGGTGTAGACGCTGTGCACCCTATATATTTTTGGTCCTTCGAGCCAGATTCAACTGTGGATGACCTGTGGACCTGTATGGAAGAATTGCAGCACAGAAACTGTTCATTTTGAATCATAGGTCATTCCTAGCCAAAGAGCATGTCAATTGTACCACAGAAAAGTGGCGCAAAAATCAAAGTTCAATTTATCGAATACAGATGGTATAAGCTTTGTTAGACGGTCAGCAAATACAAGATTTAGCCTCAAATACACAGTAGGTTCTGCGAAGCACGAAGGATATGTTCATTTTTTCGGCCCATTCACGATTTATTTGGTGACCGTCCTCCTTCAAAAGTGCTTTGAGAACGCTCTTCGACGAATTCAGGAGGTCTTCCGCTGGGGGGCGTGTCGTTGACGTCAAAATCGCCATTTTTGAACTTCGCAAATCATTTCCGTATTGTAGACTCGCCTATGACACCTTCTCCGTATACCTTGCAAATGTTCCGGGCTGCTTCAGTAGCTTTTTGGCCTCGATGAAAAGTGAAGAATAGAAGGTGTTGAAAATCTTGCTTTTCACCTCCTGGATATTCCATTTCTAAGCCTCAAAAGTAATACAGAATTAAACTACTCGAAAAGACGATTAGCACAGTTTTGTAGAGCAGAAAGAGCTCTATCGAATGAATATTATACACTTTGTCAAACAGCAAAAAATCGTTGTAAAATAAAAGAAAATATAAAAACGTATATATATATTAGGTTAGGGAATAAGTTCGTAGCCTTTATATATATCAGCAGTATTAGAAAATCTAATTAAATGTATACTTCGTCGATGTAAAGCAGTACACTTGACAATCGTGGGTCTTTATTACGAAATATTAGATTCCCAATTATAGAGGATGTCTCAAAATTATCGTATTTGCAGGAAATGGGGAGTTCATTTGAAGCAACTTTTTCCTTAGCGAAAATGCAACCAGTGATTTCATTTACGAGTTATTAAGGAAAAACAGTGACCATATCGAAGCGAACGCGCGAACTGCAAGAGAGAACTGCACGTGGCCTTGGCAGAAAGTCACGACCGATTTGAGCCGCTTGCGAAGTAATGAAGAAGTCACGGAGCGTGAACTTTCCGAACTTTTTTTACTACGTAACAGTGATATTTTTAAGAGAAACACTACTCACCTTTATTTTAGAACATCTGAAGAATATTTATTAATTTTGCAGAACCGAGATAGTAAGTAGTTTAACCGTGACAGCCGTTTTAATTATTAATTGAGTCGATTACAGTGAAGATTAACAATAAGAAATCCCGTCAAACCCATGCAAAAGATAATTTTGTTTCAATTCTGTGTATTCAATAAATTGCGACAAAGAACATGAGGGATATGTTTATTTAGGAATTGTGAAAAATATGATTAATAGTAAATTTACCCAATTAGATGAGGATGTATTTGCTGCTTGGAAATTTCGGACACAATTCACAATGTCGATGTACTGACGTCGCACAATGTTCCCAGGTCATTGGCCTTATCGAGGAAGGAATGTGGTCGGAGGGGCTTGAGGTAGGATCGGCATTGTAAACACGGATTTCACTTTTACAACATTGTCACCAAACACTAACCACTTGATTAGTTCACTTTCATATCACTGTCACAAAACATTGGCCACTTAATTAATCGTCAGCAATCGGGAAAAATGTGCGAATGTCCTTTGGATTCCTCTTGTTGACAGGCTCATGGTGTCGTTTGCTTCCAACTCCTCGAGGATTGCTTCTTCTGCTTCTAACGTCCATACGGAACGCGTCCGCCAGTTCCGCTGTCGCCGCAATCCACAACTCTCTCGTGATAAAAATTATATTTTAATTTTCTCAGACATCCAATTGTTTGGATTTTCGGAGACTCTTCCCTTAACCTCCGCACTGTTTCGTTCGCATCACCGACGCACTCCATAAAAACCGAAGAGATACGATATTTTTCCTGCGAGGAATACATTGCAACGTTGACTCGAGGAAAACTGAAGAACGACTAAAAATCCCAATCTTGCTACTGGAAATCTAGTTAAGGAATTTTACGATTTTTTATCTACATACCGTGCCGTGAAATTCACTGTTCAGTACGTACTTATACACTGCGGCCGATACTTGGGGGGGGGGGGGGGGTCCTAGAGCCTAGGATACGGGTACCGGCCTCGAACGGGGAATTTCGCTGCACGGTATACAAATCTCCAGGTAAAATATCGTAAAGTTCTTTAACAAGGTATCCTCCGACATTTGAAAGAGTGCGTAGATTGCACTAATAATGTCCACGATTGCTCCTGGCGACTTACTGAAAGAATCTTACAACTGTTTACCTGGAGATTTGTATACCGTGCAGCGAAATTCACCGTTATTCTTATTGTTAATCTTCACCGTAATCGGTTCAATTAATAATTAATATTATTTCGTGTCTGAAAAATTAGTAAATATTCTTCAGACATTCTAAAATAAAGGTGAACAGTGTTTTTCTTAGAAATATTACTCTTACATATTAAAAAAAATTCGGAAGTTCACGCTCTGTGACTTGTTCGTTACTTCGAACGCTGTCCGAATCAGTCGTAACCTTCTGCCGAAGCCACGTGCAGCTGGCTCTCGAAGTTCCCGCGCTCGCCTCGCATTGGTCACTGTTTTTCGTTAACAACTCGTAAACAAAGTCTCGGATTGCATTTTCGCTAAGGAAAAAGTTGCTACAAATGACCTCAGGAACCCCTGAATTCTCGGAAATACGATAATTTTGGGATACTCTGTTTACGTATCTGCACTCCGCTATCGCCAAGTATATTGGCGACACACGAGCGATGACCGGCATTACATAGGTAAAAATCGTTCTATAAACTTTGATGCCGCCAAACAGAGCTTGTTTCTGAACTTTGGTGAGGCCATGCCGCTGCAATACCTAGTTCGATTTGGCAATCCTCGCTTGTGCATTGAGCAAGTTATTCAACTTTAATTTTTTAGCCCCAATGATAGTTAATATTGAAGTATACGACGAAGATAGTTCCAGTTCTATTTCCACTGAAATAGATACTAGACGCTCACGTAGATTTATATTATCATCTTCCGATGAGACAAGCGATGCATCAATTGAGATTACCGCGCGCCCTAGACGAAAATGCCGCCGAAATGTATATAGTTCCGAAAGTGAAAATGAAGCACAAAAAAATTACTAATATGTTACCAGACCAATGGATAAATCCAAGTGGAAATCAATCTTTACTTATACATACTATACCATTCACGGGTACATCAGGAATAACATTATTGGATTATTTATGGTATGAAGAAGATTTTTACTTACTATTTGTTACCGAAGAAATGTTCGAAGACATAGCAGAACAGACGCACATCTACGCGATGCAAACATTGGATCAGAAACGGTCATGTCGTTTAAACAAATGGTTTGAACGTGCTATAATGGTTTGAACATTGTTTGAACGTGCTATCATTTTGTCCGTGCTTGTTGATATGTTTACATTTCTTCTGAGAAATCGGACTTACAGCAAGTCAGTTTAAGGGATGTTTACGTATCTACATAAAGTACTTTCTACGTGCGATTCAAAATTTTTATGTTGTCACGATTATAATACAAGATAACACACTTGTGCTATCTTTTAGATTGGGAGTATAGGGTCCCCTTTTTCGACGGCAAAGGTTGTCACGCCTGGCAAACACGCGGGAGGCGTGAAATTTGAGTGGTTGCCTTTCTACTCCTCTCCACTTCCTTTTGTTCGCTATGTTCTTGCAAGCAAGCTATTTGATGTATGCAGATAACATTCACCAGAGGTTCAAGTGTAGCTAGGACAAATTCGATTAAAGAAAAGAGGACGGCCTAAACCTCCCAGTTTTACAATACTAGAAAATCTGTTTAATGCAAAATTGAAAACTTATTGCTTACCATATAAAACAACACGAGAGGTCTCTAACTGTGGACATGATCAAAATGATTGTCAGGATCCAATCACAATTTCTTCATTACAGGTGCACATGAACTTTTTGGTGGTTTTAACGCCTGGATGGATGAGATATACGGTGCTCTAGATTGAAAACGTTTGCATAACGTCTTCGGAATGTATTATACGTTCTTATATAATCTTACGAAATGTCACAATATAAGTTAACCTTTGAATGCTATTTTGTGTGAATTAATTTTTTTGGAGCCTTTTTGTAAATGAATTTTTTAAAAAATTTCTTATGGTAACCAGGGTACAAACCGATTGAATTTCTCAACGAATGGAAAAAAAATAGAGTGTAAAATACTGTTTGGAACATAACATTCCAATCAAAATTAATTTCAAAACCTAGTTAAAAATTAGTGTCACCCATATGTTATCGACGCGGCGCTCAACGTTTTAAAGCTACTTCCTAATTGTATAGACATTCACAATCATGTACTAAATGTATTGATCACATTAGAAATGCTGAGTGTTAATATTAAATGAATTGCAATGCCTTATGAAAATTATATGATATTTATAATGTTCATTTAAACTTTACGGAATATTCACTGCAATTTGTACATATAACGTGAAAATCTATTGTCTGAAAATATCTGTATGATTTTAATAATCGCAAAGTAAAAAAGCTGGGTATATACAAGGTGTTCAGAAATTCGTGGTACAACCGGCAAAGGGGCGATTCTAAATGCAAAAATAAGTCGAGAAAGACGAATAACATTTTTTTTATTATGACTCCGTTTTTTAGAAAAATTAGGTTAAAAAAGTAATACTATTGAATAGGAATCAACTGGCGCGTCTGGTCATCATATACCAATTCTACTTCTCGTTATGACTTGTAATATGTTTCAACTCAGTTTTCTCGAAAACGGAGCCATAAATAAAAAAATGTTATTCCTCTTTCTCGACTTATTTTTGCATTTAAAATCACTCCCTTGCCGGTTGTACCACGATTTTCCGAATAAATAATAATAATGACTTGATATATTTTCTATTTCAGGATAGGTGTCGTCACTTGGCTGACAAATATATCGAGTATGATCCTGCGATAATTCTAGTCGATCTAATACTACTAGATAAACGGGCGTACAGACACCTCCTCTACAACTGTGATTTGAAGTATTGTTGGAAACTGGTCATAATTATTTGGCTCATCGAATCATTCCGGAATCTTTCTTTATGCAACTACAGCGAGTCGAACACTAAAGTTTTGAAAGCATTTCAGCCTGCTTTCGACGAACATTGCAACTTTTATTTAGTGTTACTTCGGACTGCTATCTCGTTTGCTGCTTTTTTTATTGTCGTTGTTTTTCTTACGAGAATTAAGAAGTTTTTCTACCAAACGAGAACTGATAAGGACAACATGACGCACTTGTGGAAAGCTTTAGTAATAGGTGGATCTTGCAAATTATTAGGATTGTTGGAAATCACGTGGGGTCACATATTTTTGGCACCTCATTATCTTCTTATTCTGGGATATACCTTGCTGTGCTTGCTTACTGCTTACTCAGGTGAGAAATTATTCAATTTTATACTTACTTTTAAAACACAGTTACACACTTCAATGTTTTGATTCCATAACACATTTAACGACGAAATTTAACAGCACTAACTATGATTCTCTCTAATTGATATTCAGATTGTACACAAAAATGGACAATTTGAGAACAGGAGATACGATTATTCGAGCCTTGCGGCTCGTTTTTATAGTTACCGATTGTCAACAACTATAAAAACGAGCCGTAAGGCTCGAATAATCGTTATCTCCTCTTCCTAAATGGTTAATTTTTATGCACAATGTGTCAATTAGGGAGAATTTACTGTATAAAGTGTTCTGTGGATAAATGTGTAATTGAGAAAGGAGTGATTCAGCATGAAAAGTAATCGAAAATGTAGATTAAGAGTTCATTTGAGGTTTTATTTTCGAGAAAATCGAATTTGAATTTTCTTCGAGTTCGCATGCACTTAACCTAGTGATCGAATCGATACCAAATAGATACGTAACGATACCAGTACGCAAATTATGATGCCAAATGGAATAATATCAAGGATGTAGGTATCAGAAGTATTGAGACCTGTTTTACTTTTTACAAAACTATCGATATCTGTTCGATACCACAAAAAGGATTGATACCTGTTTGATACCTGTCAAAAGTATCGATGCCTGTTTGATACCTTATGAAGATATCATTGGGGTATCGTTTTATATCTTCCAAAATATGTTCAATGTCTATTTGAAAGTTCGTTGAAAGATTTATACAGGGTGTCCCAAAAATGTTTCGCAATACGGAAATATGGGGTAGCTGAGGTCATTCTAAGTAACTTTTTCCTTTGCGAAAATGCAATCTGCGGCTTTGTTTGCGAGTTATTAACGAAAAACACTGACCAATGAGAGGTGACGGCGCGAAGTTCGAGAGCCCGTAGAACGAGGCTTTGACAGAAGGTCGGGACGGACTCGAGCCGCGTTCAAAGTATTGAACAAGTCACGAAGCGTGAACTTTCCGGATTTATTTTTATTACGTAAAAATGATATTTTTAAGAAAAACGCTGTTCACCACTACTTTAGAACGTCTGAAGAATATTTACTAATTTCTCGAATCCGAAATAATATGTAGTTTAACCGTGACAGCCGTTTTAATTCTCTGGTGTGCATGACACTTCATGTGTACCATATGAAATTTTTATGCAAGTTGCCACTTCTACTGCATGATTCAAATTACGCGGAGGCTTAAATCATTGGCCATTTGCGACTACTGATATTGTCAGGCATTCGTGATTCGCACAAAACTGTATTTAATGCTCGTCGAATATATTGCGAGTTCCATCGACATCACGAATTAATTTGAAAGGTTTACGGTTTGGGTAATATTTTCTTTGCTCCACTTTTAATTTCTCCTCCGCGGACGAAGAGCGATGGAAAATTTTTACAATCGCTTTACACTTTTTTATAATTACAATTAAATCTTCCGAATGTTTGATCTCGTCTTTTATTAGCAACTGAAAGAAATGTGAAATATTCATAATTTATTACTTATTTTAATATTACATTGTTTATTTATCTGCAACATGTGATAAAAATAGGGGATACGCTCTCTTGAGTGTCATAAACGTACTTACTATATTTGCTACATTGTCAGTTACATATTATACATTACAGTTATCCTTATTTAAACTCCATTTGATTAAGGTATTCTTGAATATTTCATTTAAATTTGAGTATGTGATTGCGATAGAACATTAGTTTTTAAAGTGTAGTTTTTAACTTAAAACATGGCATGTAAATAATGTACTGTTATTGATGAATAATTTTTATTTGTCCATGATGTCCACGAATCCGTCATAAAAACAAATAACATCTTCGTCTAATTTGAAACAATGGAAAAATAGTCTCAAATTTTTTGACGTACAATTATGTGGTATAAATTGAATGTTATGTAGCAGACCGTTGAATTCGTTCCAGAATTGTTATGAATAAATAAAAATATGTTTCTAATTAGAAAAATTAACTTGACCTTGAAATCTTCTCCACTATTTCACTTACAAAAAAAAATTAGTTATGCTATATAATGACCCCTCTTTGTGTATACCAAAACTGTCTTTTGTAAAACTAATTTGTTGATAATTTTAGTACCTTGATAGATACTTCATCCTTTTAACCTAAATCAACATCCTGACGTATCGTTTCCAGATCTTCCTTAATTCTACGCTGGTGAGTCCTCACCAAAAGCACCTGGCTTAGGCAGATTCCCGACACTACCCTCTCGTGCCTCAACCGTACCGTTCTCCCTGACGACATACCCTAAAAGCACCTAGGATAACCACGCTGGTAAGTCCCTACCACAAGGACCTGGCCTTGGGAGGTTCCCGGTACGATCCTTCCGCTCAGCCCGATGTAGTGACGCTTCCGACCTCTTACCTTAGAGGTACCTCCGGTATAACCCGGTCAGCTCGCCACTGCCAGAAGCAAATGGGTAGAAGAACGCCAGTACGTGTCAATCCTGGATCAAAGGCGGCAGCCTTGAATCGGCCACGCGGACTGTGTTGGCAACACCGCTCACTCGCTTACGTCTATCAACTCCAGTGATAGACTGGAGGAGCGATGAAGGCACTGCTCACCTCCACCCGGGTAACTCGCTCGTGCCTCGAGATTTGGAGCCTCTACAGAACTAGAAGAAGAAGACAGGGATCCAGATTTCGATCACGGAAATAGGGGAGGGTAACCCATACGGCCGGGCGGATCTCGCGGACTGAATCACGACGCGAAGATAGGCTCTAAATTAGATTTTTAATTGAGGCAGATGTGCTATATATAAAATCGCACAGCCATGCGTCTGCATCCGAGGGTCCGCTCTCTTTACAAAGTTAGCGGAGGATGGTCGTTCGCGGCGCGCAGTTGTCGTAATTCTGGCTCCATGGTAACGGTACAGTAGATTCGTACCAATTTCGTAGTCAATATGAAAGTCACTACGAAACACGGGTGCCCAGCGCTGTTACAATTTGACTGTCGTGTGAGTCCGCCTACGATATACGGTGTGCACGAGAGCACGGCGGCGGTCAACGGAAAGTCGGCCCTGAAACGCCGCGGATTTTTGCAAAATGGCGAAAGTCGGAACAAAACAACGATTGACATCATCGACGTACGTTGACCCGACCGTCACACGCTCGCCTCGGCTGACAAGTTAACGCGGCATTTTTTATGCCAAGTCAACGGCCGGCCTTCGACACCTGACGATGCTTCCCTTCGAACATAGGCCAGGTGTCTGTACAGGGTGTCCCAAAAATGTCTCGCAATACGGAAATATGGGATAGCTGAGGTCATTCTAAATAACTTTTTCCTTTGCGAAAATGCAATCTGCGGCTTTGTTTACGAGTTATTAACGAAAAACACTGTCCAATGAGAGGTGACGGCGCGAAGTTCGAGAGTCCGCAATACGAGGCTTTGACAGAAGGTCGGGACGGACTCGAGCCGCGTTCGAAGTATTGAACAAGTCACGAAGCGTGAACTTTCCGGATTTTTTTTTATTACGTAAAAGTGATATTTTTAAGAAAAACGCTGTTCACCACTACTTTAGAACGTTTGAAGAATATTAATTAATTTTTCGGGCCCAAAATAATATATAGTTTAACCGTGACAGCCGTTTTAATATTCTGGTGTGCATGACACTTCATGTGTACTATATGAAATTTTTATTTAAGGTGTACAGTAAAGATTAACAAAGTTCGTAAATGATATTTTAATTTAAATAATTCCATGTCCGAACAGAATTCAACGAATGATTCGCAGAGCTGATTTAATAATAAATAATCACGTTAAGGTACGTAAAAGATTTGTTTGTTAGAGAAATATGAAAAATATTATCAGTAAGAAACACATCCATTTAGTTGAGGATGCATTGGCTGACAAGTACGCACTGACCTCGTACAACGAACAGCTGATCCCAGGTCGATGACCGCAATATTCGAGGGATACTGTCGGAGAAACCTCTGGTATGGTTATTTGCTAAGTTCACCTACATTCCACTGTCACCATACACTGATCACTTAATTAGTCACTGATAATCCGAATCACTTGTAGATGGTACGAAAAATCACTGAGGCTCGTTCGTTCGGGAGTCGACATTTCACTGCCGAAAAATTCAGGCCTCGATCATTGTTCCTTGTTGTTCGTTGTTCGGTCATCCGAGGAAATGACACCCGATACCATTTTTTCCGAACGGCCAAATGCGCAGGGTACCGCCGTATGAAATATACCAGATGTGCAGAGGCGTAAACTACGGCCGACCTCCTGTACTGATGGTACCCTGCGCTTTTAGAACGTAATTAACGGCAGTTCGGAGAAACTGGTATCGGGTGTCATTTTCTCGGACGACTGAATTTTTCGGCAATGGAACGTCGACTCCCGAACAAACGCGTCGAATAAACGATTATCCGCGAACGAGTCTCAGTGATTTTTCGTATTATCCACAAGTGATTCGTATTATCAGTGATTAATTAAGTGTACAGTGGTTGGTGACAATGCAGTGTAGGTGACCTTCGTAAATAACCATACCAGAGGTTCCACCGACAGTATTCCTCGAATGTTGCGGTCATCGACCTGGGATCAGCTGTTCGTTGTACGAGGTAAGTGCGTACGAGTCAGCAAATGCATCCTCAACTAAATGGGTGGGTTTCTTATTGATAATATGTTTCATATTTCTGTAATAAACAAATCCTTTACGTACCTTAACGCGATTATTTATTATCACATTAGCTTTGCGAATCATTCGTTGAATTCTGTTCAGACACGAAATTATTTAAATTATAATATCATTTACGAACTTTGTTAATCTTCACTATACACCTTGCATAAAAATTTCATATGGTACACATGAGGTGTCACGCATACCAGAAAATTAAAACGGCTGTCACGGTTGAACTACATATTATTTCGGGTCCGAAAAATAAGTAAATATTCTTCAGACGTTCTAAAGTAGAGGTGAACAGCGTTTTTCTTGAAATGATTACTGTAATGTAGTAAATTAAAATTCGGATGTTCACGCACCGTGACTTGTTGATTGATACGAACGCAGCACGGAGCCCCCATCTTCTATCGCGCTCCACGGTCGAAGCAAGTTTCACTCGATCGATCGACCACGTTGTAATTCGCGCCCTCACCTCTCATTGATCAGTGTTTTTCGTTAATAACTCGTAAACAAAGCCGCGGATTGCATTTTCGCAAAGGAAAAAGTTACTTCAAATGACCTCAGCTACCCCTCATTTTCNGATGCATTGGCTGACAAGTACGCACTGACCTCGTACAACGAACAGCTGATCCCAGGTCGATGACCGCAATATTCGAGGGATACTGTCGGAGAAACCTCTGGTATGGTTATTTGCTAAGTTCACCTACATTCCACTGTCACCATACACTGATCACTTAATTAGTCACTGATAATCCGAATCACTTGTAGATGGTACGAAAAATCACTGAGGCTCGTTCGTTCGGGAGTCGACATTTCACTGCCGAAAAATTCAGGCCTCGATCATTGTTCCTTGTTGTTCGTTGTTCGGTCATCCGAGGAAATGACACCCGATACCATTTTTTCCGAACGGCCAAATGCGCAGGGTACCGCCGTATGAAATATACCAGATGTGCAGAGGCGTAAACTACGGCCGACCTCCTGTACTGATGGTACCCTGCGCTTTTAGAACGTAATTAACGGCAGTTCGGAGAAACTGGTATCGGGTGTCATTTTCTCGGACGACTGAATTTTTCGGCAATGGAACGTCGACTCCCGAACAAACGCGTCGAATAAACGATTATCCGCGAACGAGTCTCAGTGATTTTTCGTATTATCCACAAGTGATTCGTATTATCAGTGATTAATTAAGTGTACAGTGGTTGGTGACAATGCAGTGTAGGTGACCTTCGTAAATAACCATACCAGAGGTTCCACCGACAGTATTCCTCGAATGTTGCGGTCATCGACCTGGCATCAGCTGTTCGTTGTACGAGGTAAGTGCGTACGAGTCAGCAAATGCATCCTCAACTAAATGGGTGGGTTTCTTATTGATAATATGTTTCATATTTCTGTAATAAACAAATCCTTTACGTACCTTAACGCGATTATTTATTATCACATTAGCTTTGCGAATCATTCGTTGAATTCTGTTCAGACACGAAATTATTTAAATTATAATATCATTTACGAACTTTGTTAATCTTCACTATACACCTTGCATAAAAATTTCATATGGTACACATGAGGTGTCACGCATACCAGAAAATTAAAACGGCTGTCACGGTTGAACTACATATTATTTCGGGTCCGAAAAATAAGTAAATATTCTTCAGACGTTCTAAAGTAGAGGTGAACAGCGTTTTTCTTGAAATGATTACTGTAATGTAGTAAATTAAAATTCGGATGTTCACGCACCGTGACTTGTTGATTGATACGAACGCAGCACGGAGCCCCCATCTTCTATCGCGCTCCACGGTCGAAGCAAGTTTCACTCGATCGATCGACCACGTTGTAATTCGCGCCCTCACCTCTCATTGATCAGTGTTTTTCGTTAATAACTCGTAAACAAGGCCACGGATTGCATTTTCGCAAAGGAAAAAGTTACTTCAAGTGACCTCAGCTACCCCTCATTTTCAGCTGTTAAAATAATTGTGGAACACCCTTGTAGGGTGTACAGCGAGTACACCCGATATTAAATCTCCGCGATTACAAAATCGCTCGGGTTGTAAGGCCGATTACGCTAAGCGACGGAATTGATTAGTATCGCTGTTCGTCTAATTAAAGAAGAACAGCTGTTTTAATTTTGGAGAATGAATTGAAGCACTATAAGCACTCAATTCGATGGTCGGAGGTTGCAAGATTATCTGAGTAGTAGACTAGCGTGAGCTGGAGTCTACTGAAGTTGAAGAGTTGAGTGTAGTAGACTAGCGTGAGCTGGAGTCTATTGAAATTGAAGAGTTGAATGTAGTAGACTAGCGTGAGCTGGAGTCTGCTGAAGTTGACTGAAGCAGATTGACTGCGATTCAGAACTTAGTTGAAGTGAACAGCGCGTGTCTGTTGAAACAAAGTCGCGGACTAGAGACCGAACGAGAATGACTGAGTTTAACTGACACTGACTGTCGAATTACTAACGATCGATGACCGACGAATGACTAATGACTAAAATGACTAACGAGTGACTAATGGCAAAATGACTAACGAATGACTAATGACAAAATGACGAAGAGAAGAATCGGTTTTGAGTTTTTATACCGTTTCATGGACAGAAGACTAGAAATTGATTAGCCAGTGACGCGATGGAAGGGGATGTAAAAGTGACGTAGCACGCAGTGCCGTAGGTAGCAAGAAACCCTAGACGAGCGACCGAAGCGGTGCGTGCTAGCGACCCTGTTATAAGGAATGCTGCCGATGAGGTATGCATTATTCGAAAGTGCAGAAATGACTTTATTGTCGGAAAGAAGACGGCTCGAAAAAATCATAAACTTAGAGACTGCAATGAAGAAGGCTATGGCTCTACGAAATTGAAAGCCTAACGAACGTGACCTTTTGTCGATTGCACGTCGTTCGTTGAAGGACTGTTAATTTATCTCGCTGAGCCGAAGATTCTCTGCCAATAAATGTTTTTTAGGGATAAAAGAGAAAGGTAATTCGTCCCGAAGAAAGTTAGACGGATGCAGCACGAAAATTTCGTTGAAGGACGGAGCAACCCTGTATAAAGAAAATATTATTATAACTACTAAGATATAACAATTCATTAACTTTATTAGCAGTCTATTTATCTTTTTTTAAATCAATTCTTCAGTTTTAGAGTACACGCGTTCTGTATTCGCGCCTGCACTGAAGTTGCCATTATACAAAAATATTTCTTGGCAAACGCAACATTTTGCTGTATTTTACCATTATCTTTCCAATAGGTCAGTGGATTTAGCTTTACTTTAATTAAATACAGTTTTATCTCGTCCCGACGCAACGTTATAAATCTTTTGTTTTGTCTCGTTCATTTGTTCAGAGTTGCCATGGTGAGTGTGGCAAACTGCGATTGAGTAAAACAATGTATCAAACAGGTATCGATACTTACGTAGAGGTATCAAATGTGTATCAATACTCTTGTAAGGTATCAAACAGGTATGGATACTTCCTATTGAGTATTTTGATATCGAATTGATTGAATATCATCAATGGCATCGGTATCGGTCCGATTACAACTTAAGCCAGATTTTGTCTAATGCTTGTTACAAGATTTTGTAACTACAACAGCGATAAATTCAATACTGGATTCTGCTAACGTAATTCTATTGCCGGATCGACTGTAAGAACGA